GGGGCTTATGGGGGCTTATGGGGTTTAGGGAGTGCATGGGGTTTAGGCGGTTTAGGGGGCTTGAAGGGCTTCAAAGGGAGCTTCGGGTCTGGGAGGGATGGGCTTTAGGAGGACTTGGCGCTGGCGGAGATGGATAGGCGCTCATCTTCAAGACTCAGTAGCTCACCGAAGGAGACCCAAAGCCTAAACCCTAAACCCTGAAACCTAAACCCGAAACACTAAACCCTAAACCCTAAACCCTAAACCCTAAACCCTAGGTTTCAACCTCGGAGCCTGTCAATGCAGCTTGCCAGGCAAAGGCAAGGCAAAAGGTCCTCCGGCCAAGGGAAAGCTGCTCGACGGTTCAGGGTTCAGGGTTTAAAGGTTTAGTCAGAGTTGAGGGCTCCGGGTTTTGGGTCTGGGTGAAGTTCAGGGTTTACCTAGAGTCTCCATTGTAGTTCCTTTTTTTGGTTTAACCAATAATATAATAAGGATTTTATAAGGTATCCCCAAAAAGGAACTACAATGGAGACTATAGGTAGGGTTTAGAGTTGAGGGGTTATAGGGTTTGAGGGGTTAGGGTTCAGGGTTTTAGGGTCTTCATTTTTCTGCGGAAACTTTACCCCGTAAGCGTGCCTGCAGGGTTTTTGGCATCTTTTCTTGGTCTCGGGGGTTTCAGATTTTCGGGTTTAGGGTTTAGGGTTTAGGGTTTAGGGTGGTCTACCCGTACAGACATGTCGGATCACATCTTGCATTCAGGGTGCAGAGAAAGCAGACGACACGCGTAGAAACCTACTGGCCCCTAAACCCTACCTATAAGTCTCCATCGTAGTTCTTTTTGGGGGATACCTTATACATTCCTTAATATTTAACTGGTTAAACCAGAAAAGGGAACTACAATGGATACTATAGGTAGACCCTAATCAGGTCTCAACTCCGGAAAGGAAGTACGCGCAACCTCAACGTGGACCCTGTTTGCCCTAAGCCTTCAACACCAAGTAACCTAAAGGCATTAGGGGTTTAGGGCTTCGGGTTTAGGGTTTCCTTTGAAGAATCAACACTTTCAGGAACCCCAAACCCCAAACCCTAAACCCTAAACCCGAAACCCTAAACCCTAAACCTTAAAGGAATCCCGAAAGTAATTCTCCAAGGAAGGGGCCCGGTGCGCCACCCGCCGCAGCAGAGGCAGCTCCCGAGGTTGCCCCAGCGGAGGAGGCCGGAGGGCTTATCATTTTCTTTCCTCTTACGGGGGACGGGGTTGTAGTTCTCTTGATTGAAGGTTATCTGATATTCTGGGGGATCCTAAACCCTAAATCCTAGGAGCCCTAATCCCTAAATGGCGTTCCCAAACCCTAAACCCCAGGAGCCCTATACCCAAAACCGTGGGTTTGGGGGGTGGGGTTCAGGGTTTCGGCGCTCAGGTGGTGAGTTCCGGGCTTCGGCTTCGGGGGTGGATGTGCATTTAGGGTTAGGTTTTAGGGCTTTGGGTTTAGGGTTTTGGGCTTAGGGTTTAGGGTTTGGAGCTAAGGGTTCAGGGTTTAGGGTTTAGGGTTTGGAGCTTCGGGTTTAGGGTTTAGGGTTTTAGGGTGCAGAGTGTGGAAAGATGAGCCCTTCTGCAGAAGCCCAAGGCACTAAGACCCCCGGGAGTTTCTGCAAGCCTAAGGGCCCTGGGCCTGGGCTCAGCCTTTTGCAGGGTTTAGCTTTCAGGGTTTAGTTTTTGGGGTTTAGGGTTTAGGGTTTAGGGGGTTTAGTTTTTAGGGTTTAGGGGAAAGACATCCTTCTGCCTATAGAAGGGTTTAGGGTTTGGGTTTAGGGCCCGACATACCCCTCAGAAAGCCTTTTAGAACCTTGAGCTTAGAGTTTAGAACCCACGAAGCTCATCTCAAGATCTACCGCAGTGTTCGAGGCTGCTGCTCCAGAAGCCGCTGCGGCTGAGACTGCAGCAGCTGAGGCCACAGCTGCCCCGGCCGCAGGCGGAAGAAGAAATTCAACAGCTGAGGTTTCGGAGTTTTCGGATTTAAGGATTCAGGGTTTGGGGTTTAGGATTGAAGGGTTTGTGGTTTCGGGGGTCTAGGATTTGGAGGATTTCGGATGCATTGGTTTAAGGTGTATGGGCTTCAGGGAGTTCAGGGCTTGTTCGGTTGGAGGGCTGATGGGCTTAGTGGGTTATGGCTTCCACGCCGATGGAGAACGATGGGTGTGCCCTAAACCCTAAGCCCTAGACCTTGTCCCAGTTAAGTATTTAAGTTTTCGTCGAAGCTCACTAAGTTGCAAACACCCCACACCCTAAGCCCCAAAAGCCTGAAACCCTGGGCACCGAAGCCCCAAACCCAACCTTATTCCCTGAACCCTAAGCCCTAAGCACCAGAACCCTATGCCCTAAAGCCTGCATCCTAAACCCTTATAACCTGAACCCTGAGCACCAGAACCATAAGCCCTAAACCCGAACCCCACACTCCTTAACCTCTAACCTCAGAGCTTAACTGCCGCAATGCAGCTTTCCAGGCAAAGGCAAGGCCAAAGGTCCCCCGGCCAAGGGAAAGCTGCTCGACGGTTTAGCTTTCAGGGGTTCCGGGTTTAGGCTTTAGGGTTTAGGGCTTAGGGTTTAGGGCTTAGGGTTTAGGGTCTAGGGTTTAGGGCCTAGGGAAGTTTAGAGCTTAGGGTTTAGGGGTTTAGGGTTCAGGGTTTTAAGCTGCTGGCTTTCATGTCTCTGTCTGGGAGAGAGTTTCGTAGCCGCATCGACCCATAAAGGTTCACTTCGGGGTTTAGGATTGTGGTGTTTGGGGTTTCAAGCTTTCCACTTTGAGGGTTTCGGGTATCGCCGGCTCTAGGAAAAGCCAGCAGATTCGGTGCTAGGCGTCCTTTACGGTTTCTTCGAAAAGTTCCGCTGAGGTTTCCTTAGAGAGCGAGATTGTTTTGACAATGCCGGGTCTGGAGCTGCTGTGGTGCTAAACCTGACATAAGCCCCTAAACCCCTAAACCCTAAACCCTAAACCGCTAAAACCCTAAACCCCTAAACCCCAAAACCCCAAAACCCAAAAAAACCCTAAACCC